AATTTTTTATATAACTCCGACTGGATTCGTCTGAAAGAAGAAAGTCATATACACCTAGGATGGTTCTGGGCTGAGTAAAACATAGCCTAATTTTCATTTTTGGGGGAACTAACCCTTTAAGCTGTTTCCTTATAATAGACTTCTACGGGGGAGAATGCTTAACGTGATATTATTCACTTTATACGCTGAATAAGAGCTCGTTATTTTAACAGCAGCAAGTGTTTATTATAAGTAAAATTTGACAGAAATTTGGTTTTCCCCAGTCGTTGTTAAGGTACGTTAAACCACGTTAAGCTGTTTCCTTATAATGGACTTCTATGGGGAGAAAATGCTTAACGTGATATTATTCACTTTATCTGTGGAGTAAGGGCTTGTTCTTTTGACAGTAGTTAGTGTTTATTACAAGTAAGGTTTGACAAAAATGTGGGTTTCCCTGGTCGTTGTTTACGTACGTTAAGCCATGTTAAGTGTTTTTCACATTAAGCATTTTAGAATGTCCCTTAAAAGCACAACTCAGGAATTGAGAGCATCCGAGGAGCGTGAGAATGCAGTAATTACACTTGCTCTAATTCATTAGTTAACATAAACTGCCAATGAATAATTCTTCTGAACATTCATTCATCTTAGGTATTCCAATATTTAATAACAGGTTGTTAAAATCGAAAGTTGCAACTGTGTTATTTAATGAGCTAACATGAACTAAGAGTTGTATTTTTTAAACAAAGATTAATAACTTCTGTAGCAAATGTAGCTATTGCTCATTGTGAATGTTAATGCATTAACTAAGGATAACTAATGAGGTCTTATTGTAAAGTGATACCTATTGGTCTTTATAGTTCTTTTGCACTTTAATCTGTGTAAAACTTTTAACTTTATACATTTTTCTGTATTGCTTTATTGCATTTAAATGTTCAGTTATTTTTGTTATAAGAAAAAAGTGATTAAACCTGTTATACTGTATTATGACAGCACTTTTTAAACTAAATTTCAATATCGTGATAATACCGTATACTGTGAGAAAACCATTAGCAATTAATCGCAACATGAAAATTTGATACCGGCATATCCCTAATTTCATTACACCAAATACACAAAATAATGTTCTTTTTAGCAGCACCATATGACCCCTTTAAAAGTATCGATTTGGCACCGGTATCGGAAAAAACCCAAACGATACCCAACCCTACTTTTAAGTCTTCATTTTAATGACACTTTATCTGTTGTTTTGCAAAAAAAAAAAATGTTCTAATGCACTAAGCCAGAAATCTAAACCAGCTATCTGAAGGTTTTACAGAGGGTTTGTTAATATTTGCCTGATTTTATATAAATTTTTATTTGCAACATTAAATGTATATCAACAGCCAGGGAAAAAAACAAAAACAACAACAAAATAATTTGTAATCTGGAAATCTATGCAAATTAGTGCATATTTAATAAGATAATATATCATTTAGACATTTAAACATAACATTTCATAAAACAAAACTTGCAAACAAAATACAAAAAGTTTGTTATTTCATTATTTAATCAATCAACTTTTTGCCTTAATGTAGTTTAGTAATTATACAAGTCAAAACAGACCTCAATTAGACTTTGTGCTAAAACTAGGCTATTTCTGTGAGTCAGAGGCACATTGAAAACAGTCGCATACTCCTATCTCACCCAAAATCTGGCCAACATCAGCACCCGAATCTGTGCTACATTACTGAGCAAGAAAAATGTTGGGTGACACAGGGTCAGGGTCTGACAGTTCCATTCGCTGGTTTACAGGTACCTAAACAACAAGGCGGCCGAGCCACAATAACACACCACAATATATTTTCCTGACATTCAGTTGCAACACATTTCCCTAGACTACAAGTATATGAGAGGAAGCAGCACGGAAACATATCCTCAGAGCTGTTCCCTCTCTGTTTCCTTCCTTGTAAATATACAAGAGGCAGATTGTGTGCCTCTTATGCAGAAACGGACAAAAAAGCCAACCAGGGGTATTGACATGAGGAGAAATGAGAGAGTGACTGCGGACGCGGAGCATCATTTAACAGAGCCTGGGGCGCTGGCTTGTCTCGCTTCTTCCCGTGGAAGGCCTCTGCCACTGCTCTGGATGCTTGCTGTTTCATTATGATGAGGCTATGGGCTAAACGTAGCCAAGCATATCAAATATCCTCGAAGCACATACTAAATAAATCATTTTATTCATTCCATTACTGGTGGATGTGTTCGGCCAGTAAAGCATCATGGGACAGAAGAAAACAAGGGGATTTGGCGCTTTTCTTGAAAGACCTCCATGTTAAGACCGGATGGAGAAACAAACCATCGGTCCAGCCCCTGGGAGCTCTTCTACCTCACAAGATGCACTCATTTTGATGCAACACAGTTGATAATTACATTTTCAGATAATAACAGGCTAAGTGCAAACCAGGGTTATTATAGTTAAATGAATAGTTCACCCAAAAGTGAGAATTTACTGAAAATGTATTCACCCTCAAGCCATCTAAGATGTAGAGGAGTTTGTTTCTTAATCGGAACAGATTTGGAGAAATTTAGCATTACATCACTTGCTCACCAATGGATCCTCTGCAGTGAATGGGTGCTGTCAGAACAAAAGTCCAAACAACTGATAAAAACATCACAATAATCCACAAGTAATACACACGACTCTAGTCCATTGGTTAGCATCTTGTGAAATTAAAAGCTGTGTGAAACCAATCCATTAAGGCATTTTAACTTTAAACCGTTGTCTCTGGCCAAAATACTAGTCGTTAATCCATAGCAACGCTTCCTCCAGTGAAATGGTCTATCTTCTTTTGTCCTCTCACATCAAAATCCATCAAGATATTTGTTTAGAAGTGTTTTTGACTGTAAATGGTGCTTGATGTGTGCATGTATTCATGTATTCGGATTCAGACAAGATGATGAAAAGATGTTTGAATTCTCATTCTGACGGCAGCCATTCACTGCAGAGCAAGTGATGTAATGCTAAATTTCTCCAAATCTGTTCTGTTGAAGAAACAAACTCATCAACATCTTCGATGGCCTGAACTATTCCTTTATCTAAAAGTAATACCACAAAACAAACAAACAAATAAATAAATGAAATGGAATATATATATATTAGGGCTGTCAGTCGATTACAATTTTTTATATAATTAAATTAAAATACCTTCTTTTATGTGCTTTTAGGTGCTGCAGGTGTACGGATTCTTAATGCGTTTATTGCAACTACATTTCATCTTTTTCTCATCAAACAACCAGACAAATGAATAGCTAGACACAACTTGTACCGGGGCAGAGCCTAGACAGGGCCTTCTTCTGTGTAGATATAAATTCTATGCTTTGCATCAGCTGGGCATGTATATGACGCCTGTCATAGCCTACCCTGGTCGCCCAGTAAGGTTGTTTGTTGAATTGATTAATTACTTTTAAATTAAATATTTTAAACATTAATACAATAAAGAAAGAATAATGCATTGACTTGGGCATATACCCTAATATGCCTATAACGTTCATTCTGTTTGACAATTCTAGAGCAACAGAGATGTACTCTTCTAAGTTTTATAATGTAGTCTTTTGTTTTATTAAAATTGATTATATTTGAGATCTCAACAGGATATGCGATTGTGTGGGGCGCAAGCTGCGGCGCACTCACACACTGGAATGCAACGCAAGATTTTCACAAATGTAATTCTTATTGTTTCTCACCAACCCCCACATATACATTCAGAACCCTTGGCACCACGAGATGCATATGATTATTTTACGACAGATATGCTTCCCCTTTA